GGTGACTTGAGTTATATGACCAAAAGTGTTAAATGTGAAAAACATTGAAAACCAATTTTTAACAAATCAAATATTGAAAGATGAAATAAAAAAGTAAAATTAATCATAAAAAAGGATAAAACAAATTTTAGTGATTATAAGCAAAAAAAAGAAGCTTAAGCCCACTCGAATCAACTTGTCAAACCCATAAGTCAAGTTATGAGATTGGATAACTTGATAGAAAGGATAATGAAGAAAATCACGAAACCTAATTTTTAAAAAAAACCATCATTAGCTCATAAAACTCATGACCTGAGTTATTTGATCGAAAATGCTAATATGGCAAAATCATGAAGCCCAATAACCATCAAATCAAATATTAAATGATGAAAATAAAAAAAATCAACTACACAAAAGAATCTAAAAGAAAAAAGAGTAATTAAAAGCAAAAAAAAGGTGCAAGACCATCCGAGTTAACCCATTAAGCTCATGAGTTAGGTTATGAGATTGGGATAACTCAAGTCAATATTAGAAAATAAGGTGTGTTGTTTTGATGGGTTAAAATAATCCAAATTTTAGTTGATAAAAAATAATCTTTTATGACATAAAATATTATTTTACAATAAATCTAGGTCTAGGTTGGGCTCGAAACCCAAACACGAGCTAGGTCGAGTCGATATACATATGCATGTGTAGATTTAAGTTCAAAACTCACTTTACTTAGAACCTCTCTCCTTTAAAAGCTTGGATACTCTTTGGACCTAATTTTAACTTTCCAAATTATAAATACTAAGAAAGTTTTGTTACATTTTCTATGTAGGACAGTTTTTCTAAAGAGTTTTGGGTTTTACTAAAACATGCTAACTAAGAGTTATTTGAGATAAATTTCTCATTTACCCATAATTTATTTAAATCATGTTAATGTTCTATATTAAAAAGCTTATACTGAAGATTAAATTCCAATTAATTTTTAACTTGAAAAGTGAGGGATTCCACTTTAATTTGGTTTTAATTATGCCCATTAACCATGTTTTTAAACAAATTTTCTAATATTTTCTCCACATTAATGAAAATTATCCAACTAATTTAAAAATGATTCAAAGATTTGTAAAGAGATATTGATTTGATATATCACTCCATGAGAAGAGGTAACTCTTAGTGAAATACTATCCAATTTACTTTTTAAATAATGAACTCGATGTCTTAAACAACTAAATTTTTACGTAAACTAAGATAATAATATCACATAGTTCTTGACTTATATATTTCTTTTGGTTTTCTCTGTTATGTTCATTTTGATCCTAAATAACTTTTGAATTAATAAGTGTTTTAGAAAATGCAGCTTTTATAAAATTCTCAAAGAAATGTCCATATTTCTCATTTATATAGGTGATATTTCATTAAGAATATTGATATACTCCATTTGGTATAAAAAAAATATAAAAATCATTAAAAACAGTACTCACCCTTTATCATGTTGTAACTAACACTTATTTTATTATAGAAATAAGCAGCAAATGATAATTTTCAAGTGCCATAAAAGATATTATATGACTTATTTTTTTTATTTGAACCTAGATAATGAGCTCTCCAATCAACAAATATGATTACTATTATTACACTCTTTTATTTTTTAGGGCTTTAAATTCATTCCCTTTGATACAAGTTCTTTTGACAAATCTTTGGTTAACAAATTTTATTGTTTTTCTTTGACTTTACATAATTAATAGAAATAATTTCATTCAACAACAAATGTTTAACAATATTATATTTATAATATATATGTTTAAACTTAACATTATATGTACTACTTTATACCTTTTTAATTGTTGACTGATTGTTGCAGTGTACACAAATAGCTAGCACTAGTTTTGGACAATATAAAATTTCCTATAAGAAATTTTAAAGCTATTTACCTTCTTCTTTAACTTTATCAAGAGTAATAAATTTTGATTCCATCATAGATTTTGTGATATATGTTTGTTTAAAGGATTTTGATGACACAACTATTTCATTAAATGTGAAGACATATCTACTAGTAGATTTTGAACCCTTAATGTTAGATATTCAATTATCATCACTATATCCTACAAGTACCTCCAAGTAACCAGTATAGTGTATCCCATAATCTAAGGTGTAACTTAAATACTAGCATACCCTTCATATTACTTTCAAATTATCCATACTTGGATTACTCGTAAATCTATTCAATTTGCTAATCAAGTAAGCAATTTCAGGTATTGTACAATTTATAACATACATCAAGCTTATAATTATATAAGAATATTAAAAAATAGTCCGTTCCCTCACCTTTATTTTTGGACAAATGAACACTTATGTCTATTAGTTTTTTCAGAATGCTATTTTTAACTTTAAAAAATTTGTTGAGAACTTTCTTAATATAATAAAATTAGGAGAATACTAATCCATCATATGTCTTATAAATTTTTATTCCTTATATGACATATGCAATACCCAAGTCTTTTATATCAAACTTGTTAGTTAATATTTTCTTAGTAGACTTGATTATGTAATCATTACTATACAAAATAAGCATATGGATATAGATGTATAATGGTATAAGTATTATTTGTGTTTTTTACATAAACACATTTACAAATTTTGTTGATTTTAAACTTACTTGACAATAAAACCTAATAAAAAATTTCATCCCATTATTTAGGTTGTTATTTCAAACCATATAATGATTTGACAAGTTTGCAGACTTTCTTTTCTTGTCCATTAACAACAAATCCCTTGAGTTGTTCCATATAAACCTCCTCATCGAGGTCATCATTTAAAAAAACTATTTTTACATCTATTTGATGTATTTGAAGTTTGTTAATAGTTGTGATATCTATTATTCTTCATATAGAAGTTATTTTTGCAAAAGTAAATACGTGTCAAAAATAGTCCACACTTTTTTGTTGTCTAAAGCCTTTAACAACAAGTTTAGATTTATATTTGTCAATCATCTTTCATCTTCTTTTTGAATATTCACTTATGGTCTTTACACCATTTTAAAGAAGATTAATGACAATGTTTATATTGTTGATCTACCTAATAATATGAGTATTTATACAACTTTTAATGTGTCAAAATTTTTTTATTTTTATGATGATCATTTTTTGTATCCAGAGCTTAGAGGTAACTTGAGGTTAAGTCTTTTACAAGTAGAGAGAACTAATGTGGAATGTGTTACAACAATGTGTTACAACTACATTTATAAATTACATAGACAAGGCCAAGCTTGAAAAGAAGTTCACAAATAAACTCAAAAATATACAAATAAACTCAAAAGTATATGATATAAAGCCTGAAGTTGTTGTTATCCTAGTGAATCTTGGATTTTAATTATTTATTTTCTATTTAGCTTATAATTTTAATTTAATTAATATTTTATTAGTTAGGATTCTTAATGCTAGATGGATTATATTAATTATATAAATTTTAATTAGGAATTCTTTACTATAAAGAATTTTAGATCTAAAACTAATAAATAAAGATGTATAGTTTATTTTGAAGAGATTCAAACTATTTAAACTTTTAATAAAATATCAAATATTTTTTCTATTCTTCTACAATATTTAGAGTTGTAACTAGGTGTGTTTGGTATTGTGGTAGTTTTTGTAATTGTATTTAAAAAAAAATTATTTTATAAAAAAATACTTTTAATTGAGGTTGGTTTGGTAAAATATATATTTGATTAAAACTGTGATTAAAATTGAGGTTGAACAAAAAGTAGTTTAATGTTTTTGGTTAAGAATACTTTTCAAATTAAGGTTATAAAATAACTAAAACAACATATATTAATATTGATAGTTTTTAATTGAAATATTGTAAATTTAATTATTGCTATTAAAATCATGAAATAAATAATACTTTATATAAAATATTTTTTATTATTCCATTAAACTATTGTTATTAAATCATTAAATACATAATATTTTATATAAAATATTTTTTATTATTCCATTAAACTATTTGTAATTACATCATATACGGAATCCATTCGACAATGACTATAGTTTTCATGGCTTTCTAAGTGTGCAACAACATCAGTTAAAATATGAAATAAAATTGATATTGCGATCAAATTCTGTAAATATTACGTTAACATGCGATCTTTTTCTAATGTAATTATGTAAAAATATTGAATAATGTTAAACACTAGTTTTTTAAATAAAATATAATATTTATAAAAATATTTTAAATTTTTTTATTTTACTATATCCAACTCTATCTAATATATTTAGATTTTAATCAAATCCAATTCTTCCATGAACATTGGAGATGCTCTCCATTGCTTACTTTGTTGAACCGTGGAGACAAGAAAATACAGTAGAAAAAGAAGGAGAAAAAAAAGGGGAAGAGCAATAGAGATGATAGGGTTGTTTTGGAATTTTTTTGCAATGATTTCGTTGTTGTTTGGCAAGAGACGAAAGAAGGGAACAGAGAGGAACAAGGATGAAAATATAAGAAATGATAAGATTTTTCTAGGTGTGAACAAGGGAGACCTCTTAGGTTGTTTTAGAAATTTTTTGTAATGATTAATTATTTACACTGTCGGCGAAAAAGAAAGAAGAACACATCCTCACGAAAACTAAATTCAAATTGCTTTTCAAGAAACTGAGTTCTAATCTCAGTTCTGGGGGAGACCCACAACAATAAAAATATAATTAATATTTAACTAAATATTTATAAATAATATTTTCTTATAAATACAGCTACAACATCAAACATGTTAAATACACACTAAATATTGATAACCTTAGCTTTTATGCATATTATAATATTATATATCATGTCAATTTTGAAAAATTTGAAATTCGAGTATTTTCATGTATTTTAATGAAAAAAATATAAAATCCTTGAGATTATTCGGTAATGAAGCATTATTTCATTTTTTTTCTAGATAAAACAGAAAAAGATGTGGAAAATAAAGTTTATGATTAAATATAATATTTTTATAATTTGAAAAAAAAAATCTCCATTCTCCTTTCTTTCTTTCTTTCTTTCTCTTCCCTCTCACAGGCTGCTAGCCACACCTCTAACCTCATTGGCCACCACCATTGATCCTCTCTCCCTCAACTCGTCGTCGACGACCCTTCCCTCTTCTTCTTCCTTGTCCTTCCTGACCAATGACCACCAGCTGAAACTCAACCAGCCCACCAGAAAACCCACAACAACGTCATCAACCCTTTTCTCTCTTTCCTTGATGAAATCCCTCTCCTCACACCCAAGCAAAACCATCACCAAGCGCCACCATCTCTTCGTCTCTGTCCACACCAACACCAGGCAAAAACTGTTACCAATCAACTATTCTCTCAAACATCATTTCTTCTGAACTGATACTATCTTTTATAGTTTCTCTAATTTGTCGCAGGCCAAACAATGCAGGATTGAGAGGATAAAATGCAAGAGTGCAGGGACTAAGAGAAGTTGGGTCAGTTTAGCCAATTAAAAAAGAAAAAAAAGAAAAAAATAAAACCACAGTCATGCCATTAGTAAAGTTAAACGACGTGTAGTTTTTCCACGTAAGTGCAAGGCGTATTCTGCCAGCAGAAGCAACAAACAAGACCCATCAAAACTTCCACCAAGTCAAATCACACCCACCTCCCACTCCATCTCCAAGCCCACAGCACCACCAACAACAATTCTTCGCAATCCAAAAAATCGAAATTGTTAAAAACGTTGCAGTTTCGGCACAATCAATCTCAAATCCGCAGCTCTGCCTAAATGGTAAGCCATGTCAAAAATTTCTTATTTTAATGATAATTATTTTTTGTATCCAGAGTTTAGAGGTAACTTGAGGTTGAGTCTTTTACAAGTAGAGAGGTCTAATGTGGGATGTGTTACAAGAATGTATTATAACTACATTATAAATTAGATAGACAAGGCCAAGCTTGAAAGAAGTTCACAAATAAACTCAAAAGTATACGATAAAACGCATGAAGTTGTTGTTATCCTAGTTAATCTTGGATTTTAATTATTTATTTTCTATTTAGCTTATAATTTTTAATTTAATTAATATTTTATTAGTTAGGATTCTTAATGCTAGATGGATTCTATTAATTATATAAATTTTAATTAGAAATTCTTTCCTATAAAGAATTTTAGATCTAAAACTAATAAATAGAGATGTATAGTTTATTTTGAAGAGATTCAAACTATTTAGACTTTTAATAAAATATTAAATATTTTTTCTATTCTTCTACAATATTTAAAGTTGTAGCCAGGTGTGTTTGGTATTGTGGTAGTTTTTGTGATTGTGGTTCGAAAAAATTATTTTATAAAAAAACACTTTTAATTGAGATTTGTTTGATTAAAACTGTGGTTAAAATTGAGATTGAACAAAAAATAGGTTAATGTTTTTGGTTAATAATACTTTTCAAATTGAGGTTATAAAATAACTAAAAAAACATATATTAATATTGATAGTTTTTAATTGAAATATTATAAATTTAACTATTGCTATTAAATTATAAAATAAATAATACTTTATATAAAATATTTTTTTATTATTCTATTAAACTATTTGCAATTTTATCATGTACAAAATTCATGTAAAAAGGACACAGTTTTCATAGCTTATTGAGCATACAACAATATCAGATAAAATTTTATTCGCATCATATATGAAATCCATTCTACAAGAACTATAGTTTTCATGACTTTCTAAATGTGCAACAATATCAGGTAAAATATGGAACAAAATTGAGATTGCGATCAAATTCTATAAATATTATATTAACATGCGATCTCCTTCTAATGTAATTATGTAAAAACATTGAATAATGTTAAACATTAGTGTTTTGAATAAAACATAATATTTACAAAAAAAATTTAAATTTCTTTATTTTATCGGCTCGGATCCGGTCTAATAAATTCAGGTTTGGGTTGAACCTATTCTTTCCCATGAATACTGGAGATGCTCTCCTCTGTTTACCTCGTTAAATAGTGGAGATGAGAAAATATAACAAAAAAAAGAAAGAGAAAGAGCAACGGAGATAAGAGGGTTGTTTTGAAAATTTTTTGCAATAATTTCGTTGTTGTTTGGCAAGGGACGAGAGAGGGTAATAGAGAGAAACAAGGATGAAAATATAAGAAATGACAAGATTTTTCTAAATGTGAACAATGGAGACCTCTCAGGTTGTTTTAGAAAATTTTTATAATGATTAATTATTTATATTGTCGGCAAAGAAGGAAGAAGGATACACCCTCACGAAAAACAAATTCAAATTGCTTTTCAAGAAATTAAGTTTTAGCCTCAGTTTCAGGTGAGATCCACGACAATAAGAGTATGGTTAATATTTAACTAAATACTTATAAATAATATTTTCTTGTAAATGTTACCACACTAACTAAATATTGAGAACTTTAGCTTTTATTCATATTATAATATTATATATGGTGTCAATTTTGAAAAATTTGAAATTCCAGTATTTTCATGTATTTTAACGAAAAAAAATATAAAATCCTCGAGATTATTCGGTAATGAAGCATTATTTCATTTTTTTTCTAGATAAAACAGAAAAAGATGTGGAAAATAAAGTTTATAATTAAATATAATATTTTTATAATTTGAAAAAAAAATAATCTCCATTCTCCTTTCTTTCTCTCTCTCTCTTCCCTCTCACAGGCTGCTAGCCACATCTCTAACCTCATTGGCCACCACATCTCCCTCAACTCGTCGTCGACGACCCTTCCCTCTTCTTCTTCTTCCTTGTCCTTCCTGACCATTGACCACCAGCTGAAACTCAACCAGCCCACCAGAAAACCCACAACAACGTCATCAACCCTTTTCTCTCTTTCCTTGATGAAATCCCTCTCCTCACACCCAAGCAAAACCATCACCAAGCGCCACCATCTCTTCGTCTCTGTCCACACCAACACCAGGCAAAAACTGTTACCAATCAACTATTCTCTCAAACATCATTTCTTCTGAACTGATACTATCTTTTATAGTTTCTCTAATTTGTCGCAGGCCAAACAATGCAGGATTGAGAGGATAAAATGCAAGAGTGCAGGGACTAAGAGAAGTTGGGTCAGTTTAGCCAATTAAAAAAGAAAAAAAAAGAAAAAAATAAAACCACAGTCATGCCATTAGTAAAGTTAAACGACGTGTAGTTTTTCCACGTAAGTGCAAGGCGTATTCTGCCAGCAGAAGCAACAAACAAGACCCATCAAAACTTCCACCAAGTCAAATCACACCCACCTCCCACTCCATCTCCAAACCCACAGCACCACCAACAACAATTCTTCGCAATCCAAAAAATCGAAATTGTTAAAAACGTTGCAGTTTCGGCACAATCAATCTCAAATCCGCAGCTCTGCCTAAATGGTAAGCCCTAATCTCTTTCTTTGCTCTGTGATCTTACCCATTAATTTGATTCTAATTTCATTATTATTTTGCAGGCAACTTCATTGCGCTTGTATTTAACATGTATACGGAATACTTTAGAGGCATCCTTGTGCCTGCAGGTAATGCTTGCATTATAAAATTTATCCCTTAATTAATTATTTTTTAACTTTTTAACTTTTAAAATTTATTGATTTTCGAATCTGCTTTGCAGAACTTCCCTTGTCAAGAAGTTGAAAGGCATAACAAACCAGAGGTCGAAATGAAGTATGTTTTCCATTTTTTATTAAAAAGGAAAATAAGTTATAATATTATTCATAATTGTTTCCTGCATTTTGAGCTTGCTTGTGCGGTATCTTGAGGAATGTTGTGATCTTTTGTTTATGTTTTGCAGGACGAGCCCGGAACTTTTGCTAAATTCTGTAAGGATCATTTTGGTTGATGCTAAATTTTTTATGAAGAAATGTTTTGTTGTAGTTGCTGTGCTGATGGATGTCTAACTTGATTGCATGTGATGATGATGCTATTGCAGATTTTGATATGTAGAAATGAGGCTGAAAAGTGCTTAATAGAAACATCTATTAATTCGTTGCGTATTAGCCTCAAGGTGAAGTGTTCATCTCAACATTTAGATTAATGTGCCTGGCAGAGCTGCATAGTGAAAATAGGACTTTCTTATAGAACAGTATGTGTCATTGTGAACAATGTTTTTCTGCTCATTTTGATTACTCGTAACTTATGAAAATGGTTGCTTGTGGCTACCTTTTAATCTTTTAATTCTTTCTAATAGGCTAGTTGGTATGTTGTGTCATTTTCGGGATTGCACATCTAGAAGTTTTAATGGATGCTGTTTGGTGTTTGAATATGTCATGGTTTGATCAAAGGGAAACAGTCCATTTTGCTGCTGCATAGATTTTTCCAAGTCACCTATAAAAGATCATGTTTTAGAAACTTCTGTCCTCCTATTTCTTTCCCTGTGTTCGTCAAATCTAGATTATACATTACATATGCAACATGGTTCAGGGATCCCATGAAGATTATTGAAGAAGTGTCAGGCACGTAGGCTTAATAATTTGGTGTGGGTTCTAATAGTCTAAGCTGCTAAAGCAGAATCATTGAAGTGCTCATCCTAGATTAATAGTCAGGTGCATAGTTACAGCAAAACTTCAAAGATAAGTTGATTTTGCTGTTAAACTTAGTCATACTCATTCTGTTCATGTTAGCTTTTTGAGACCAAAGGTACTATGTTCTCTTCTTCTTTTTCCTTTGGTGTTGTATCTCTTTTTTCATTTGGATTTCTTGTGTTTATTTATTAATTTGACACAGCATAAATTGCATCCAATTCCTATTCTCAATTTTTTTTCCTTATGTGCATATTTATTTTCTCTTGTACAGGTAAAGCAGGCAGATGAGCTTGAAAACATACTAACTAAAAAATTTCTTAGATTTTTATCAATGAGGGCAGAGGCATTTCAAGTGTTGAGACGAAAGCCTGTACAGGTATGTGTTGTCTCACATGAATGAGCTGAAAAGTGCTTCATTTTGCTTGACAAAATCAACTGTTGATTGTTTCTGTGAATTTTTGTTTTCGGAGTTGGTAGGACTTTATATAGTCACAAGGTTGGCATACCTTGAGTTGCAGGAAAACTTGTGCCTTTTCTTAGATGAAAAATAACATTGTCCAGATTCAGATTAGTGTAGTTTTTCCTTTTCTTAGAAGAACATTAAGTTGGTCAAGCCAAATTGGAATACTGGCTCTAGTCTTTCTCCATAATACACAAGCACTTTGCTGCTCAGCAAGTTGGGTCCTCTGTTTCAATAAGTAACAGAGAATTTGCAAATAAGGGATGTGATAACATTATTTGATCTCAAAGCAATATTATACGAAAAATTTTGTCTCTTCAGTTCTCTCTATGAATAGAATTTTAAATGTTTTTTATTGTAATGGATTATGAGGTCTATGTGGTCAAGTGTTGGTGAAAGATTCTTTTATATTATGCATTTACAATGAATTTTGAATACACATGTGGATTTATTGATTATTTTTATTTTCAAAATGCAATTTATATCCTGGTCTAATCACTTGATAATCATATCAATGAACCTGTAAAGTTTCAGCTTATATCTCTGAATTAATTTACAAATTGCTGACAGACTTTTGCTGTATCATGCTGATAACATTCTTATGATGATATGTTATCACGATGCCTTACTTATCAGGGTTATGACATTAGCTTTCTAATCACAAACTTCCACTGTGAGGAGATGCAGAAACGCAAACTCATCGATTTTATTGTGCAATTCATGGAAGTAAGATTTAACCATTCCTTGCCACTTGCTTGATCTTTTCTAATTAGATTTCCTTCTAGAATATGATTTTGATTCTATTCTCCCACGTATTTCCTGCTATTTGATTATACACATTGTGAAACTCAACCATAAGGCTAAGATGTTATATTTAGACTACTCGTCCATGTCCTGAGTTTTTTTAACCCTCTGAAGTGGGGAGAATTGAACTGGAAAGAAAGATTCTTTCAACCTTTACTTTATATCATAAGGCTAAGATGTTATATTTAGACTAATCGTCCATGTCCTGAGTTTTTTTAACTCTCTGAAGCGGGGAGAATTGAACTGGAAAGAAAGATTGTTTCAACCTTTACTTTATGTTGTCATTGTGAACAATGCTTTTATTGACATACTAAATTGATTATAAGTATTTCAAATTTGGTGCACAGTGTATTAAATCAGGTGTTCCTTCATCCACTACTTCAAATATGCTAAATTGGGATTAAGTTTCCTTAGCAGACCATCCGTTCCTCTTGAACCCATTAGTTTTAGTTATGTGCTTCATTGTTGTTCAGTTTCAGATGAATAAGTCCTTTGGAGAACTTTGACGATTTTAATTATGAAATAATTCTATAGGTCCAGAAACTTGTTCATGATAGAGACTGTATATGGTTTGCTCTCTCAACTTTGAACTGATTTAATGGATTCTCCATATGGGGGAAAATGAAGGTGAAAATTATGGCCGGTCACATGCATGTGGCCATTCCATGTTTACCTTGTGATGGTTTACATGTTGTCAAGATTAACAGCACCTGGATGGGAAGATGTGATCATCTAGTTTTATTATGAAAGAAAAGTTGGCTTAAACTTTACTCCTTGTGCGGTTACATGATTTACATTTCATCCATCCGCCCCAGTTTAGGTCTTTATTTTCAGTTTTAATTTATTTTGTTTATATGGGGTTCTGAGCATATAACTTTTTACCTGTTTATTTTTGCTGCAAATCTATTCTTGTTGCACAAATGGTTCAACAATATTTTAAATTTGGAAGCTTTCTCGATCACACACTATGTTCTCCAATTGCAGGACATTGAGAAGGAGATAAGTGAATTGAAAATGTCTGTGAACACACGAGGGAGGCTGGTTGCTACAGAGTTTCTGAAGCAATTTATTTAATTATGATGCCAGTGCTATTTATCCAAACATTGAATGCCCGAGACACAGCCTGAGACTGTTTTTGGGTTAGTGGTATTTAGCATGCCTGCTTGCTTCAGTCATTCGTTTTAATGTCTTGTAAAATTGTCGTTGTGTGAGATGTAATTTTCCATCCTCAACTTGAGTCATATTGATAAACCATCTTCCCCCCTAGTTTGAAAGACAGGCCAATCAATCAAAGATCGAAAGTCACAATTCATGTGTTCTTGCTCCTATAAAGATAGATGAACCTTAAAAAAGCAGATGTCAATAATTAACTAAAATAAGTTAACGATACCCTGTAAGGAAATGAAAGAAAAGATTATTCGAGATCCATTGTTATTCCCCTGTAGATGTTTTTCATGATTAAAAAAAGATTGCTGAGATGTTTTAAATCTTATTACAAAAGGATGCATGACTTTATCAAAAGAAGTTGCATTGGTTGTTAGAGCAATGTTAAGAGAAGAAAACTTAACAAAATATAATGAAGTCATTTATATTCATTCAATTAATTTCATTTAATTCAAGAATAGGATTTATGTTGAAAAAAATAAATTTAACAAAGAACAATAAATAAAAAAAATCTCAAGATAATCATATGAAATAAAAAAATAAAATAAAAATAAAACTAGTTTAATCTCCAATAAAATTTAAAAAATAGCTTAAAAGAATGATAAAAATAATTACAATCATAGCACCTTGGATGAACTTTCTGAACTTTTTTAATTTTTTAAATTACAATTCATCAAATCTCAAACATGGATTTAATCAAGAAACTTAAATATAAACTAATTAAATATTAAAGAATGGGAATGAGTAAAAAAATGTCAAGCTAAACAATTTGGCAAAGAAAAAAATCAAAAGAACAAGAAAAAAAATCTGATAGAAAAAAATGATAGAAAAAAATAATGGAGTGAAATGTAAACAAAAAAATATAAATTTTTTCTCAAATGACATGTAAACAAAAAAATATAAATTTTTTCTCTAATGATATATATAGCAACTAAAAAAATAAAAACTAAATTTGAGAAATGAAAAAAAAAGGATGAAATTGAAATAAATTTTTAATTTCATAAATTAGTTTAAATAAAACAAATATTAACCAAAAGATTAGAGACAAACGAAAAGAAAGAAGCTGAAGGGTTTATTTGAAAAATTATAGGGCAAGGTATAAACATGGAGGGGGTGGAGAGAGGAAAAAAAATAAAATGATTAATGGATCTAAACCGAAGGTTTGGATGATGCATGCACCATCTTTATATTAAAAAAATGTCGGGAAGAATCCAAAATCACCCCAAAATAACAATTTTGGTTACCATAATTAGCTATATATGCCATCAAAAGAAGATGGCTAACGTGTACTAACACACACTTATGATTTTTTAAAATACTTTTATTTTATTAAAAGACAAAATTATCCTTAAATTTATCTAATAATAATAAAAAAAACCAATAGCAAAATAACAACAACACCCTCAGAGCTAATGTATAAAAAGTTGAACTTCAAGGATGAGGAAATATTTTTGAACTTCAAGGATGAGGAAATATTTTTATCGTGTTTATAAAAAGAAAAAGACTAAAAAACCCCACATTAGTACACAATTATTTTTGTCAATAAAGATAAATATGTTATTTTATTATGTATTTTTTAATAAAAAATATGAATTTACCCTATAATATCCAATTAATTTAATTTTTTTTAGAGAAAGATAATAAAAATATTATTCTCATTTATAGTGCATCACATCTAGATGACAATGTTTTTATCATCCCTATAGGTTTTTTTATTTAATTGGTTTTAGAACTTTAGTTAATGGCTTTTAAAGTTTTACATGATGTATAAATGTAAAAATAAGTTGTGATTTATTTTTTAGGAGTATAATAATTTTTTAGAACATTCCTTTCTTAACTAGATGTAGAGTGAGATTTACATATTACTATTAATACATGTTATAATGTTAGTATTATATTAAGGATTTAATAATTAATAAAAAATATTTAAATGGCAGCGTAAGAAAAAAATAAATTAATAGGGCTAAGTTAAAAGAGTTGTTTTAAAAGGATTGAAATTTTAATTATTTTATATAAGAAAGGGGCTAAGAAAAATTTCTTTGCAAGGTCTTCGCCCTACTAACCCCCCTCCCTCCACCAGTTTGCATTTAATTATGAGTTAATTAAAAATTTAAAAATATATTAACATGTATAATTTTTTAATGTGTTTAAAAAATTATACAGTATTATTAATATATTTTTTATTTATATATAAACTTTTGGTTATGAATTTTAAAATAAATAAATATAAAATAATTTTTTTAAAAATATTAAGATAATAATATTTTTAATTGATTTAAACCAACCTAAATTAAATTATCAACTACCTAACTTTGATCATGAACTTGAATACATTTAATAAAATTATTGTTCTAAAATAATTTGTATTTGATTATAGTATATTAAAAATATATACTATTAAAAAAGCTACTCAATAATATTTTTAAGAATATTGATGGGATATAAAATTGTTTTTGCTAACATTATAAATAGTTTATTATACTCTTATGAAAAAAAAGCAAAAAAATGAATGGTATTTAATAAAATAATAGTTAAAATATATTCTTAATTAATTTAAGAATTTAATAAATTAATATATTTATAGTATTTTAAATTAATTTTTTAATTTAAAATAAAAAAATAAAACAAAACATGTCCGGTTGATATGCTTGGTCTTAATAAAAACCACCTTAGAGCGTCTAGGCTTTTTTTTCCCTCAATCATCTGACCTTCTTTTATTATTATTAAGTAGACAATATGTTACCTACCATTGCAAGTGACTTGTCATCTATTGGGTTGTTATGTAGAATCCGAGCACCATAGTGATAGATGAAAAATCAAAAAGGGTTTTGCTTTAAAAATTCATTTTACTGCAATTTCCACCTAGAAAATCCTAAAAAAAACACCATAAAAACCTATAAAAACCACTAAACAACCCCAAAATCACACAAATAAAAAATCATCAAAATCAAAAAATAAAAACTAAACTTGATTTATTTTCTTGTCATGTTTAGAGAAAGAAACTATATTCATTAACTCCTCAAGAGAAAAGGAACTCATCCAAAATTAAACAAAAATAAAAAAATTATAAAATAAAAAAAATAAAAACTAAACCCTATTTGTTTTCCTTTTTATTTTAGAGATAGAAACTATATTCATTGAACTTCTCTCAAGAAAAGTAACTCATTGTTACAAAGATCCTTCTTTTATATAATTAGAATGTGGTTAAATGACAATTTTATTATTTTTTAGCAAGTTTATCTCGTCTTTTTTTAACTTATAAAATAAAAAATAAATAAAATAAATTTTTGAATCAAAATAAAAATTTAAAGCACTTTGAAATTTGACATGTTTTTCTTTGTATTTTACATTGTGGTCCTATCACTTTAAATCTTGTCTTCCTAATTTAATTGAAAACTTTGTTTTATAAAAATATACTTTTAAAAGATCAAATTAAAAGGAAAAAAATAAGAATAAAATTTAAAAAAATAATAAAATAAAATAAAAGGCGGTAGAGGGGAGGGGCTTCATTCAAAAAAAATAAAGAAAAGGAACAA